TTTGGCCTACTCTATTTCTTCAAAAGTGTGTACTTTTAAAGTTATTTCCGGCCGGGCATGGTGGCTAATGCCTGTAATCCTAGCACTCTGGGAGGCCAAGGCGGGTGGATCGTTTGAGCTCGGGAGTTCGAGACCAGCCTGAGCAAAAGCAAGACCCCATCTCTACTAAAAATAGAAAGAAATTTGCCGGACAACTAAAAATATATAGAAAAAAAAAAATTAGCCGGGCTTGGTGGCGTATGCCTGTAGTCCCAGCTACTTGGGAGGCTGAGGCAGAAGGATTGCTTGAGCCCCGGAGTTTGAGGTTGCTGTGAGCTAGGCTGATGCCACGGCACTCTAGCCCGGGTAACAAAGTAAGATGCTGTCTCGAAAAAATAAAAATTAAAATTAAAAAAAAAGTTATTTCTACATATACCAAAAAGTATGCAAATAATGACTAACAGATCAAGGATTTAAAAGTAAAGTGTAATCATACCTCAGGTCAAGACATGTAAGGAAGAAACAGCACTAGTCACACATAAGTTCCTCCAGGGAGTAGAAAAAAGAAGGAAGATACCATCTAGCTCATACCTTGAGGTCAACACAACCCGAACACCAAAGCCTGGCTTAGATACCACAAGAAAGGAAAACCATGGACAATCAACCTCAAAAGATTCCCAAACAAAACATTAGCAAGCCGAATTTCTTTTTTCCCCAAAGGAACAACACCTTATGAACAAGCTGGATCCACTCCTGGAATGCAAGCAAGGTTGGCCCAACACTTAAAAATCAATACAATTCACCGCATCAGTAGGACCCGAAAGAGAAACCACATGATAATCTCAACAGATCTTTCTTTAAGAAAGATTATGAAAATTTTAGAAGTGGAGAGACAAGTAGATGAATTCTCATCTGTTCAATAATTATCAAGACTTTGGCACATTTGTTCTATCTTTTTTATCTATTTTTCTTTATTGATAAATTTTAAAGTAAATCCCAGACTTCATGGTGTCAGGAGTACAAAGCCTTGGTTGTTAAGGGAAGGTGAAGGGGGCTTCTTGTCAGTCTTACTGCTCCTCCCCTTTCACTTGCCCTAACAACAGCTGCATCTTACTGAGCACATTCTGTGTTAAATGCTTTGTGTTCATAATCTCATTTCATCCACACCATATCCCATTTTGCTAGTGAAGGAACCAAGGCCTAACTACGTTTAATTCCTCACCTAAGGTCTCGCTACTAAATGACAGAGCTGGCTTTTCCACCTAAGTCTCTACAAAATTTATTCTTAGACACTAAGATAGTCTTGGATTGCAAGGGACAAATCTAACTCAAGCTGCTTAAAGGATAAAACAAAGAGGACTTCCAGGACTGTTGCTCAGCACCGTCCATCCCTGCCTCCCTCTGCATGTCAGCTTTTGTCCCCGTGGTGAGGACATGACAGCTCCTGCCTGGCTCACATCCCCCAGAGAAGCAAGAAGCTTCCTCTCTGGCTCCAACACAGAAAACTCTGGTGGGGGATAAGTTACTGTGATTGGCTCAGTCTGGGCTCTGTGCCCACCTCCATGGCCAGAGGGATGGAGACATTTACCAAAAGAAGGAGGAGAAGGGTGCAGAGCTGACAAAAACTACACTCCAGCTTCACAGAATAAAGATTGGATGCATGTGGAAAACCAAGTTCTGGATTTGTTACTCAAATTGAAAGCAAGCTGCCATACTTGAAAGCAATTGGAAAAATCAAATCTGTCGATTAGAATACAGTGAGCCTTATAAGTTTTTCATTACTGAAAGGATTCAAAGAATCCTTGTGAAGTATTAGTATAGTACGTACCACATGCTCCATAAATGGTAGCTCTTACGATTCACAATTGGTCTCAATTGCAATCTTCCTTGTGCTTTTCCTCCCCTGCCAGCTTCACTCGTGGCCTCATACTATGTCAGCCACATTGCATTTTCCCAAATGTGCTATGCACCCTTATTCTTCCATACTCTTACAGATGCTATTCTTATGCTTGACCCATCTTTTCCTTCCTTATCCATCTGTTAAACTCCTACCCATTCCTCAAGGTCCATCACCAGTAGCTCATCTACTGAGAAATTTTCTAAGAGATTGACTGTATGACCCGAGTTCTTTGAGACTGTGAGTAAGGAAACAAGGGATGTAATATTTAGGCTTTCAAACAACCTTGACAAGGTTCTCCACCACTGGTTACTAAAGAAAATGGGAAAATGTTCTGTCAGGAATCCAGATAATTGAAGTAAATGGGTAATGATCTATATGGAAAAGTATTAACAATGTGGTCTTCTAAGAATCAGTACTAAGTCATGATATATTGGTATATCTGTTAAAAATTATAAATCACCTGCTGAAGCATGTAGTGAAATCTCCAGATATGCTCTTTATGTTAGTAAAATGCCAAGGTGATGGAGATCAATCTTGGGAAATTTTTACTATGAATAAAGAAGAAAAATGATTAATGATCTTCAGTTAAGGGTCACTGTAGGAAAACAAACAACTCTGTCTTTATGATGACATAGTGAATAGTGTGTATTATAAGGAAGGAAACTGGAAGTCACATCAGTCATACCCAGTACATTGGTGTGTTTTAAAGGAGCCAGTGGCATGCTGAGTATCATAATGAAGAGGATTCAAAACAAACCAATAAAGAGGAGGGTTCCTTTGAACCTGTACTTGGACTATGCAGTCTAAAAGTGGTCAGCATCAATACAATCTGAAGCCTTTGCTTGCCAAATATTAGATATAAGAGGTAAAATATACAATTTAAAATAGAAAAAAGATTGCAGAGCTGGAAGCAAACTAACATAGGTGTACAAAAATTGAAATATATTTTAAATTTGGGGGAAAATACATATATGCACAGAAAAAAAAGGATGAAAGGAAATAACACCCAAAATGTAAAATTGGGTATTATCTCTGAGTAGTGGGATTGTGGGTGAATGTCATTTCCTTCCTAAATGATATCTTCAAAAGATTGTTTTACAATGAATAATTTATAACTAAAACAATTTAAGAGGAAATTTTAGGTAAACTTATAATAAGCCATATTAAATTTTTAGTGGACAGCAGAATGCTTTTTATTAGCTAACCTCAGGAAAGCTAACTAAAAATCCATAATGCCCTTGGTTGCATATAAGAAACTTCATAATGCAATAGTCATCTCAATTCTTACGTTTTTATTTAGTTGGGCAAGGATTAAAATTTGAAACTTTAGTATAGGTGAGTTCTCTGGAAATAGAAAAGTCAAAAGATGACATAATGTAATCTTGAATATGCATGGAGCAGATAATCCTTTCATGTCCTTTGTTCTTTATTCCTGTTTTTCATTTTTAGTAATTCCCTAACATTTGAGAAAATAAGGCAATAGTGTTAATAAGCCACCGGATGGAGATGTTGAGCTGTCCTTGTTAATGTAACAAATCAAATTAGGGGTTCCAAACTTTAGTGAGTATGAGAATCATCTGGAGAACTTATTTATGATACAGGTTTTCCAGTCCCCACCTTCAGAGTTAATTTGGTAAGCCTGCCACTGAGAGTCAAGTGAGATGGGGACCAGAGAATGTCCATTTGATTTAGCAACACGGAGGTCACTGGTGACTTTAGAGGGAGAACCACTTTGGAGGAGTGTTAAACCCTGTAAAGGGTTAAAACCTTTATAGAAACTATAGGGGAATTTTGGGGGGGTCTGAGCAGGGGAAGGCAGGGCAGAGGGGTCTCCCACTGCTTTCCCTGGGAATATTTTTTATGTCTTCAGGGTAAAGGTAAGTTTCTTTGAAAAGACATAGAAAAGCAGTCATAAAGATTAATACCCAGTGTATATAAAGACCTAGAAATCAATAGGAAACATATAACACCCAACTGAAAAATGGACAAAAAACTGAAATAGGTATTTTAATGAAAAGGAAATGTAAATGGCCAATAAGCATTAAAAGAGCTTAATCTTGTGAGTGACTGGAAGAATATAGAAGACCCCAAACAAATATCATTCTACACCCACTAGAATGGCAAAGTTAAGAAATCTGACTATACCAAGTGATGATGAATATATATAGCAAAGGGAACTCATTCTGTTGGTGGAAATATAAATCGTAAAACAATTATTTGGCATTATTGAAAATCAGCTAGCCTATATGACCTGGCAACATCACTTCTATATACTGAGCTCAGTCAAAACTTTAGCACATATGCAAGAGATTAGAATATTTGTAATAAATAGTATTGTTTATATAGCCCCTAGTCTGGAAATAACCCAGATATCCATGACAAGAAAATCAATGAATAAATCGTTGAATAGTGCCACATGGAATATTACACAGCAGTGAAAACAAAAGAACTATGCTACATGTAATAATAATGTAGATTCAATGGCATGACGTTGAGTCAAAAAGTGGGTGGCAGAATACTACATAGACTATGGTACAATTTTTTTTGTAATGTCAAACACAAAACTAAGCTGTGTTGTTTAGGATACAATACATGGGGTAACGAAACTTAGAAAATGGGAGGGGGTGAATGATTTACACAAATTCAAGGTAATTTTTATACCTCTGAATGGGGAAGAGCGGGGGCGGGGGTGTCAGGGTGGAGAGAGGGGGATGGGATAGTAAGGACTGCCTCAAGAAATTCAGCTAATATTCGTAAAGTTCTACTTTACAGTTAGGTGGTGTGTTCACCGTGTTTCATAATTTACATATTCTTTTGCAATTTTCACGATTATAAAAATTTTAAAACTTGCAACCTGGAAAACGCTGGGCGTCCAGTCTACTAGCAACTGGCCTCACCTGGCTAAAAATACCTCCCGCTAGCAATTTGCCACGCCATCGCCCGGGTGGGGCCGGAGTCTTGCCACCCCGTGCACGCATGCGTGCGGCGTCCAGCCAATCAGCTACGAGCCCGGCTGAGGCGAGGCTGGCTTATTTCCCGCGTGAATCCCGTTTCCTCAGTAGCATTGCAGCAGCGAAGTGGATAACCCAGGTGAGGAGTGTGGGTGAGGGAGGCTGGAGTTGTGGAGGCCACCTGTTGGGAGACCGGTTACTGTGGTCCTCGACCACGGGGGTTTTTTTCAGGCGTGAGCAGGGGAGAAGTTTGTCCAGCGCTGGTGTCCGGGCCAAGGGCTGCTATGGACTAGTGAGGTAAATCTTCCCTGTTGGCATTACCTGGGGCCTCTGATAGGAAGACGGAGGCTGCGAACCTCACTGAGGGCAGGGCCTTGCGCAGGCGAGGAGCCGGTGGAAAGCAGGTGGGCAGAGCTGGGTCCCGCGCCCTCGGAAGGTTTACAGCAGGGACAGCGGCGGGCTAGGGCTGGGGCTGGGGGCTGCCTCTGCGCGTCTCTCCCTCCTGCCTGCCCCAAACCGGTCAGAAAAAAGTGAAATTAGTTGAAGCCTCCTTGGCATTTTTCCCTGCTGTGTGTGTTGAGAAATCTTATGGGACGTTAATTTTCCGAGACTCACATTGCAGAACGTTTTTATTTTCTATGTGTATAGCTGTGAACTTTTTTTGGCGTGCTCATGATTTATCTTGGCAGCAACCACGATTGTACTTTGTGACCGAGATGCCAACTAGATTTGCCTAAATTTAAGCCAGAATCTGGCAAAGGGCGCCCTAAAATTCGAATCTCCCAGTCCTCAGGTGCGAACTCTCCCATCACAGCACACTTGGAGTCGGGGTTGATGCTGTCATGAATCATTTTTTTTTTTTTTTTTAAGTTGGCAGCGTCATTATACTCGTTGCTAACTTTTGGTCCAATAAAATAAATGAGAAAACTGCTAAAATTTTATTCACCTAAGATAATCTTTATTTGATATTTTCTTGGATATTTAAAATTTTACCAGTTTGTTTAAATGATGCCTTTGGATTCAGAAGGTTTGAGACGTTTGTGTTTTAAAATCAGGAAGCATCTAAATATGGTGCCCTCTGGAAGAAAGCATTTTGGGAAATCTGGGAAGTCATCAGCAGAGGATCAGGTTCTAAAAGGCTATGACTTTGAGAAAGAAGATAAAAAAGATCTGAGTGGTTCAGAGGAAGATGTTACAAAAGGTACGGAGTATCCAGTGTTGGGCAGCGATGGTGTCCTTCAGTTCATTTGCTTTGAACCCACTACATTTAAAACAGCAATAAAACTTGGCAAAGTGTTTTCATGTACAGTCATCCCTCGGTATCCTTGGATTCAGAACTGGTGGGTGTGTACAACCAGCTGTACTTTGTTTCTCATTTCATCTTCATACCCTAGTATCAGAGTTATAGAAGCTTATATAGCATTCTTGCTTTTACAGTCATTATATCCAAAATGTCTGATAAACAGTACGTGGCTTACTGTGACATTCACTTAGTAAGAATTGAAAAATTGTTGCTATAAAATAGTCCTGAATCCTGATTTAATTTCATCTAACCTGCAGGGAGAGTGTGCATTTACATGTCTCCTTTAAAAATTTATGTTGGCAAAAAGCCTAAATGACCCCCAAATGAAGACATTACTTCATTAAAATTTACTAAAATAGCATACTTAATTTCAAAAGAGCTTTTCTGTTTTTATTGTCAATACAGGAAAGACTCCAGTAACTGATAAACATGGGAAGAAGAGGCCTTCTGCAGGAACAGTTGAAGATGTTGGGTAACTTGCTCAAAATAATTTTTGCCTGTTAAAGTGCTTCAAGTTTCCTTTGTTGTTTAACAACTATTATATATGTAAAATACTTGGCATGTGATATTTCTTCCAAAGCAAGCATGATATTTTATGGATTAAAAGTTTTAAAATGTACTTTCTTTATAGGGGTGAAGTACAGAATATGCTGGAAAGATTTGGAGGTATGTTTTAGGAGATATTTGTATTTCAAGAAAATTATTTTAAACCATATAACTTGTATAATAGGAAATGTTAATCAGTGGACTATAAGACTGTTAATGTCTTAGTCTCATATATAGGATTTCGCATAAGTATTTGTTTAGTTTCATAAACTTCCATACTTACGTTTTCCATGATGTTAAAAGTGTGAATGGTGCTTTTATTTTGTGTGTATGAACTTGAACAGATTATGGAAATTTAGAAGAAAAATGGATGGGAAGTCTTTACCTTTCTTTGTATTCACAGGCTAAGTGATACACACACACACACACACACACA